GAAAACAGTACAATAAAGCTACCTGTACATCGAAACAGTGCAGGCTAATGTGCGAAGGTCGGGGGAGCCAAAGCAGCATTTGATACAAGCAAATGAGGGTTGTCAGGTGCAAACATAACTCTAAGCTGCTCCGTTTTTGGAAATGCCGTTTTTTTGTTTTGGTTTAGGCCACGAAAGTGTATATAGTAATAAGGTTATACACAACATACCTGAAATTACATCCTCATGCATTGTATGCTACAGTATTGTCCTTGATACTTCACATCTTTGACAATACCTTCGCAATAAGATGCACTCACATATTTTATAAATAACATCATAGTCTATCTGTGCACATGTATGTAAAATAACCTGCTCAACTCAAAGTATTCATACCTTTGCCTTTGCCTTTAGCCTTGCCCTTTGTTTCTTTTTCTGTTTCTGTTTCGTTTTCTTCATGGAATTCCTCGTGTAGGGGGGTATCCGGCAGACAGGTTCTTAACAAAGATGCAAGACGTTCCGTTCCTTCACGTCTAGTACAGTAAATGATAATGGAATCCAAGGAACAGAATCTATCACCTTTCATAGACCAACCAAAGCCTGAAAAAAATGTATATCATTAAGATATTTGAACACTGTAACACAGCATAATTTCTTTTCTATATTTCATAGGACAAGAAGCAAATTTTTTTTTTGGTCTTACAGATATCCCAAGGTAAACTGCTATTCATTGCAACATGAGGATATTTTAGGTTTACTAAGAAAAGGAAAGCATGTACACCAACAATTTTAACACCTTTTCATGAGAGCTGAGTGGGCAGCAGAAATCAAATTGGTGGAACTGTGACGATATATACTAACCCGATCTCTGTCAGCGTCTCTTGATACAGAGAGATGTAAATTGTGCGGTACAGACGCACCTCGCACTACAGCCCTTTGATAGTTATTGATACCCAGATGTAATGCTACGCTGGATGCAGTCGCCAAAGTAGCTGTAGCAGTCAAACCTAACATACACTGCACACCAAGGCTTTCTTTCAGAACCTGTAAGATAAAGAGATGCAACACTAATGCACTGAACACAGCTAGCAGAATGAAACATTTATATTGAAATCTCAGTTGGCTCTTTTCACACAATACTTTGAGTGATGCAACTGCATTTATTGCACAAAAACAAAATATAAACAGAATAAAACAAAACAAAAATATTCAAAGTAATGCAACAATTAGAAAATAATTAAAGACTTATATTACACTACTGTGCTTTTATTGTCAGTATTGAATCTAGTAAAATGAAATTTTTGTTTTTTAATAATTAACTACGATGAATTAGTAAAAAATTACATATTGTAACGCATTTGCACTACTGTGAAATGCTTTATTTTAGCTGGAACTAATTGGTCGTTTTGTATTTGGAATTTATTTTTACTGTTTTGAATGTAAAATATAGGAAAAAAGGTGTATTTGCTGGATTTTATTTTCACTGATTCATTCCTTCAGCGAAAATAGCGAAAATAAAGTATTTCACAGTATTAAGAAACCAAAAATCATGTTTTTTGCATAGTGAATCATTAAAATATTAAGTATTTTTACCATAGAAACACCTGCAGATTACATAAGCATATGTGTTAATAACAGAGCAAATACGGTACAGTGGCCCCTCGCTAAGTCGCGGGTGTCGGGATCCAAGCAAAAACCGCGACTTATCGAGGGCCGCGACTTACCGAGGGACGTCGTGAAAGAGGGAGGTCGTGCATTGAAAAACATATAAAAAGCACATATAAACCCTCAGTTTAGTTAATTGATGTATCATCACATGTGTCAGGCAGTATTCGAATAAAATCATGACTATGTTTGCTGTAAACATTGCATTGTTTATTTTGTTTGTGTCCGAAATTATGTGGGTCTTTTGCTGTTGCTTGCGACTTCGACGGTAACAGCTTCCAAAAAAAACCAGTTTCATTGCAATTATTGTTCATCAAAATATCCACCTTCATAGATAATTTCTATCAGTTTTTCGGGAAAAGTTCTGACAGCGTCCATGTTCGCAGACCGAGCTTCGCCTTGGATTGAGACTGCGTGTATCGATAGCATGTCTTCTTTGCCATCGCAAGAACCACCCTGAACTGGCCTCAAATTCAAAGTCGTCATATCCAGTCTGAGTTGTGTGCTTTGCATTGGGTGATGGGACCAGATAGTGGAGTTCCGGCAGACCGTTTTTCAAGAAACGTAAACAGCTTTATCGATGTCACCATTGTCGGACAATTTCGCACGTTTTTCTGTTCAGTCCCGCCTCTTGGTCAACTTTGAAAACAAATTTACTTTTCATTTTTTACCCAACCACGAATACTGGGCTCAACCACTGCTAGATCACGTGCAACCCTTAACTTGGTTTCACCTCTTCTTGACAGGTCGATCGCTGCGAGTTTATGGAGTACGAACAGGCTGGATAGCTTTCGCTTTGACATGCTGCTCAATCGAGAAATAGAGATAAGATAATGAATTCAACTCATTGTAGCGAGCTTTTTTATAGGTATACCAAAATGGGAACGGCCGAGAAGTACGTACGGTCACTACTCGACACCCCAGTTGACACCTTGAGTAAGGCCGTCGTCACCCATTGCATCTCAGCAATTGACGGACAGTAGGTGTTAAGTTGTCTCTTTAACGGTTAGTTGAAAACACTATGCCACGAAACATTAGTCTTTGTACTTCAAAACTGCT